CCACCCCAGGACCACGGGGCTCCTGGCTGCTCCAGGGCCCTGGCACCGCCCCGGGGGGGTGATGCACGCCGTCCTCGGGAGCTCAAGGTCCCTCTTTGTTCACAACCACCCCCGGGCCCGGCGCCGGAAGCAGGAAGGGAACCTCCTCCCGGACCCGCCGCTCGTCCTCTCCGTCGCCTTTAGACACAAACCAGGCCTGGGTGCCCCCCTCCCGGCTCAGCCCCCCACGGCCTCCCCCGGCGGCCCCGCAGCCCGGCGCCCTCCCTCCCCTCACACCCCGGGTCCCCACGAGGACTCACTGCGCTGGACGCTGCGCCCTGGGCGGCGGGACCCGAGCGGCGCCGGCCCCGAGGCTGGAGGGTCCGATGGGGTGAGGCCGAGGGGACTCTGTCGGCGGAGAGGAGTCGGGGAGCCTCGGACGCCCGGAAATCGAAGGTGGCGGCGCCACAGGCTCAGACACACCCTGCCCCGCGGGGCGCTGCCTCCCCCGTCCCCTCCTCCTCCCGATGGACGCGCAGAAACCGGGAGCCGGCGAACAGCTTGAAGAAGTCAAAATGTCCGCCAGGAAGAAGACTCCGGAAGTCCCGCCCTAACCGGATGCGTTGCTACAAAAATGCCTTGTGTTGACGCAGTGCTTTCTGGGTAATGTAGTTTTCTCAACCGCCCAGCAGAGGGCTGGCTTTCCAGCCCAGGAACTTGGGGAACAAGGTGACCTGGCGCTGCCAGGGGCGCTGGGTGAGGAGATGGGAGCAGAGGCCGGGTTTAGGGGGACAGACTGACCCCCCAGGAGAGGAAGGGGGGACAGGAATAGATCCCCAAAGAGTATATACACAGGGGAATGGGAGACATCTGTAATAGTATTAACAATAAAAAATACATATTTAGGGGGGTAGGGGGGCAATGGGGAGATAAGGACACAGATGTAATACCTTATTCAAGAAAGAAATTTAAAAAACAATAATAAAAATAAAAAATACATATTTTAAAAAATATTTCAAAAGAAGTTAGCCTAATTGGTGTGGCTCAGTGGTTGAGAGTCAACCTATGATCCAGGAGGTCACAGTTGTATTCCTGGCCATGGCACATATGTGGGTTGCGGGTTCAATTCCCAGTGTGGGCAGGGACTTGCAGGAGGCAGCTAATCAGTGATTCTCTCTCATTATTGATGTTTCTATCTCTATCTCTCTCCATTCCTCTAAAATCAATATATGTGTGTGTGTGTGTGTGTATATATATATATATGTATGTGTATATATATGTATATATATGTGTGTATATATATATCTATATATATGTATATATATGTATATATATGCTTAGGCATATATATATATGCCTAAGCAGCAGTTATGACCAGTTGACCAAATGACTGGTAGACTGGTCGCTATGATGCACACCAGGGGTCCTCAAACTTTTTAAACAGGGGGCCAGTTCACTGTCCCTCAGACCGCTGGAGGGCCAGACTATAGTTTAAAAAAAAACTATGAACAAATTCCTATGCACACTGCACATCTCTTATTTTGAAGTAAAAAAACAAAACGGGAACAAATACAATATTTGTATTTGCATGTGGCCCGCGGGCCGTAGTTTGACGACCCCTGATGCACACTAACCACCAGGGAGCAGCTCCTACGTTTAGCATCTACCCCCCCTGGTGGTCAGTATGCTTCCACAGCCAACCTCACAAGGTCACTCTCCCAGGACTGGGTGAGATGGCCCTGATCAGCCCTAATCTCCGGTCAGGCAGACAGACCCCACCCATGCACAAATTCGTGCACCGGGCCCCTCTAGAATATACATGTAATACATATAAGTCCTGGCTGGTTTGGCTCAGTGGATAGAGCATCGGCCCACAGACAGAAGGGTTCTGGGTACGATTCTGCCTGGGTTGCAGTCTTAACTTCCAGTAGGAGGCATGCAGGAGGCGGCCAATCAGTGATTCTCTCTCATCAGTGATGTTTCTCTCTCTCTTTCTCCCCTACTCTCTGAAATCAACAAGTAGCACTTTCAGAAACCGCTGTGTCCCGGAGCTGCCACATACAGTCATTGGCCAAACTCAAAGGAGTGAATTTTGGAAAAAGGAGTTTGGACAGATGTCATTGGCAGCACACTGACACCCACTCCTGAGTGGGACCGTGTTTCAATCCCTGGCCCGTTCGGTTCCCCACTGTGGTGGGGGTGAAGCCCCACATGTTGAGTGTGTTGACTGGGGTGGTACAGGACCGCAAACAACCAGCATCCCTGTGCTTTTACATGAACTTCAGTCTTTACCCGGCCTCCAAGTCTCTGTATCTTTTGCGTTGCCCAGGTGAGGGCCCCAGCAGGTGGGGCTGATGGTTAACATGCTGCCAGTAACATCCATGGTGACCCTGTGCTTTCCGTTCGTTCTGTGCATGAACGTGTGCTTAATGCGGTCCCTCCATAGTTCTCTCCATCCCTATTGCAGAGAGCCCTGGGCCCAACTCTCCCTCCTGTCCCAGGTGTTGGACCATGAGTCCCACAGGATTGCCCAGTGCCTCATTACTGGGGGCTGGGGAGCACTTAAGATCCTAGGAGTCTTCCCCCCTCAGATTTCCCCCATATGCACTCCTCCACTCATTCCTTGCCCGGGATGCAGGATCCTACAGCTCCTCCCTGAAGGACCAGAGTCCTACCCAAACATGCCTCCCTCCATCCTCTCTAGCTCCGGTCTGTCCTCAGAGTCATCCCCAAGTCCCCACCTTCTCACAGCCTGGGGAACTGACCCTTCACTTCACCCATATCTGGGGCCTGAGATGGACCCCCAGGGGACAGCAGAAGCTGGAAGAGCAGGGGCAGAGAGGGGTCAGCCAGGGGCTGGAAAGAACATATTGTCCTCTCCATCACCCCTCAGTACATTGCCTATGCATTTGCTTGTAGCTGGGGTGCACAGACACACACATTCACAGGGAAATGTAGAGACACACAAACTCACAGGGAAACATACAGACACCACAAGCCCAGAATCACACAGGCACAGAACCCTCACAGCCGATGGTGGGCACTCAGGTGCAGAGCTTATGCACAGAGACGCATACTGTAGACATGGCAACACCTTGAGGGGAACACACACACACACACACACACACACACACATACACACACACACAATGATACTCCCATGCCCACACCAGAAACAG